ACATACATTGTATATATATATATATATATATATATATATATATATATATATATATATATATGATAAAATAAATTATTACTTGTATTACTATTCCTACTTTGTGGGTTTTCACTTATCGTGGGTCTTCATGTGACAGATCCCCGCGATAAACGAGGGATTACTGCAGTGACTAACGATGACTTACTTTACTTTTATACATTCATTAAATAAGTACAGAAAAGTCTTTAAAGTTAATTTCAGACTTCTTCATGTGCAGCTATGACTACCAGACTCTGGACTATGACATCATGCTGATCAAGCTCTTCCATCCTGTGGAGGTGACCGAGGCAGTCGCACCCATCCCCCTGCCCACAGGGTGCCCGATGGGTGGGCTGCCCTGCTCTGTGTCCGGATGGGGCAACACTGCCATGGATAGCGAAGAAGGTGATTTGAATTAGAGGAAACAAACTAAAAGCAAGGAGCTTTTGGCTCATGCTCTGCCTTCTCCATTACAGTGAACATGCCCACCCGTCTGCAGTGTTTGGACGTGCCCATAGTGGAGGACAGTGACTGTGAGAACGCCTATCCAGGCATGATCACTCGCAGGATGGTGTGCGCGGGGTACATGGATGGAGGCAGAGACGCATGCAATGTGAGTCTGACATCATTCAACCTGCAGCTCCTGCACCTGTTGTCTGTTTGGCTCACCCAGTCTGTGTTCGTCAGGGCGACTCTGGCAGCCCTCTGGTGTGCGTAGGAGAAGTGCACGGCCTCGTGTCGTGGGGCCGAGGCTGCGCTCAGCCGAACTACCCCGGCGTCTACGTTAAAGTGTGTGAGTTCCTCTACTGGATCGAAGAAACTCTGGCAGCTTATTCCTGAAGAAACATTTATTTCCCCCCCTTTTTTTTTGCCACAATTCACTGACATTAATTTCTTATCTCGCATCACCAGTCTTCTTTTACTATTCCTCAGCCTTCTGCAAACATCTAATTTAGATGAGGTTAGACAAGTTCTATTTTCTTCACACTTATTATCTTATAAATTGTTTCTCTGAAACCACATGTATCACAATAATAAATAAAACCTCTGGGTATTTATTAACCTCTAGGTATATTTTTTTTATTTTCATTATTAAATCAATAACCCATATGGTCATTCCATTTCAAAACGGCTGCTACAAGCAATACTACAAAAAAATAAAATTAAAAAAAATGGCCGTACCGCTATCAATTGAACATGTCCTGACTTAAAATTTGATGTGCTAGCGGTTGAAAGTGATCCTCGACACACTCTCAGCGTTGCACAAGAGTTTTGTTTAAAATTTGAAGTCAGCCTTTTTTGGCCATTAGCAAAATATCTCAAACAGCTGGACAGATTTAAAATGTTAACATTTGGGAAAATAATTGTTGGATGTAGCCAAACCAGTTGAAATTGGTTGACACATTCAATTAAGCTTCAAAGCAAAAACTGGCTGTAATAAAAACAAACAAAAAAAAGTTTTGTAACCTCAATCATCCAGGTACATAACAACAAAAATGATTAAATCATGTCATCTGGACCAGGTTGGCTTGAACACAGCAACGAAGGCTACCTATGGGACAGATCTGCTTTACAGGCCGCAGACTGAATAAGTCCTCTGGATGGGGGATGAAACGTTTCTTCACTTAAAGAAACAGGTCCAGATGACATGATTTAACCATTTTTGTTGGCTGTAATTCAGTTAATTTACAGCTGTCACCCTAACATTTGATGTGGTAGTAACTAAAAGGCATTGATAGCATCTTTCATTATATGAGATCACATCTTTGTCATTTATCAAAATAAGGTCAAACTATAAAAAGTAGCGAGCACTACACATTGTGAGGTGCTAGAATTTAAATTTACTTTTGTAATACATTATTTTGAAAACACCGACATGAATGTGTCAGTTACAAGTTTCCTTCCAACAAAGTTAATTCAGGTCCTCTGGACAGTTTCTTTGTGTTGAAACGTTTCGTCTTTCATCCAAAGGACTTCATCAGTCCGAGGAACCACAACAAACGCAGTCCCACAAGCAGCACACTCACAAAGTGGGCCAACCAGTTTGATGGTGATAAGATGGTTTCTGGAGTTCACCCTCTCCCCCGTTGACTCCTCTGAGGCAGCCATAGCCAAAGTGGTTCAGAACATCAAAGTTCATGCTCAATAATCCAGATAGAAAATCCAACAAAGTTAAGTCAGGTCCTCAGGGCGGTTTCTTGTGTTGAGACATTTCGTCCTTCATTCAAAGGGCTTCATCAGAGTCCTTTGGATGAGTGTGTGTGCTGCTTGTGGGACTGAGTTTGTTGTGGCTCCTCGGACTGATGAAAGCAGTTCCATTCAAAGTTTATTTACATTTAAAAACATCCACAGCTAACCAAAGTGCTTCACAAGAATTATAACATCGTAAATAAAAAAATATGATTAAAAGAAGTAAAATGAAGTTAAATAAAAATAAAAGTATGATCAAATTTGCAGTAAAATACCAATAAAATAATAGTACTAAGAAAAACCAAGACAAACTATTTCATATTTGCTGCAGTTTCCCCCAAAACTCGAATCCATCAGGCACTAATTAGAGGTTGAAGGCCAGAGAGAATAGATGCGTCTTCAGTCTGGACTTAAACTGATCTACTGACAGAGAGAGCTTCACAGACAGAGGGAGGCTGATCCACAGTCTGGGTGCTGCCACAGAGAAGGCTCTGTCACCTCCAGCCTTTAGTCCTTTGGATGAAGGACAAAACATTTCAACACAAAGAAACCATCCAGAGGACTTGACTTAACTTCGTTGGATTTTTTTTAACCTGGATTATTCATCATGAACTTTGATATGAGTTTATTTGTTACATTTAAGACTGAGTCATGCATTAACACACAAGCCATCAGTTAAATATATTTGAAAAAACTAACAGACGGGCGGACAAACGGATGGCTCAGATAGTAGAGCTGTTGCCCTTTGGTGAGAAGGTAGCTGTATCGAATCCCGGCCTGGGTGTAGCTTGCATGTTCACTTAGTGCATGTGTGGGTTTTATTAAGGTACTTCAGTTTCCTCCCACAGACCAAAAACATGCATGTTAGGCTGATTGGAAACTCTAAATTGTCTCTTGGTGAGAGTGAGAAACTGAATGTTTGTTTGTCTATGTGGCCCTGTGATGGACTTGCGACCTGTCCAGGTGTCCCCCGCCTCTCGCCCCGTGACCCAAAAAGGAAGAAGTGGGTAACGAATGGATGGATGATAGACGAGGTAGCATTTTCTGATCAGTACCAATATATATTATTTTGCCTTGTGATTAACCTTCTTTGTCTTCATAATTAAATCTTCAAACAGTCTTCATTTCTATGTGGTTTATTAAATGCTTTAGTTAAAAATAAGACAGTGTGCAAGATTATATTTAGGAATTAGTGCGGAACTCGCTGCACAGACAACGGCAGTGTGATTACTGAGCAGTTGGGAGCCGCAGTGGGAGGCTCGTCTCAGTCCCACCTACTCCTTTCACTTTCAGCTGTGCAGCAGACACGAGGTCATTTACAGTCAGGCACAAAACAACAACCAGAACTTCTATATATATTCACGACTGAACAAACTTATCTAAACAATATTATTGTTGTTTTGTTGTTAAAGATTTCCCAGATTCCACATGGTGGAGTACAAATACTCAAGATGACATTGTTCTTGTCATTTCTCCCAAGCCAGTTTTGTCTTTTCTTGGCCTTGCTCCACTTTTCTCTTTTTCTTTGTGCCTTCTTTCATAAAAAGGACCAGAAGGGCCGATCCACGCTGCTGCACCTACACAAAACAAACAATGGAAAAGGTTAACGCAAAAACAGTGCAACCGTTTCCTTTAAAATCTTCCTGTTTTATGTTCATGTATCTTTAAAAAAAAATCATTTTGCTTTACATTAATTACAATTACATTACATTTCTTTGTTTTGTTTCTGTCACCTGATCCAATCAGGTTCTGAGTGGTGCTGCATGTCCTCTGTTTTTTAATGACATTTCTTATTTCACCTCAGCTGTATGTCAAAAACTATATTTCACCACATTTGAGGTGAAAATTAAACACTTCCATTCCAGAATGTCTGCTCACGTTATAACCAACAAGAACTAAATTAGAACATTTGTTCTGGTTCTATTAAAAGATCCATTCTGCCACAGTCTGAGTGTAAAAATAACCCTCGTGACCTTTTACAAAAAGTGAAGTCTGTGTCTTGCAGAAGTGAGCAAGATCTTCGTTTAGAACGTGCACATTTAAAATGTTTTCACTTTTTGGAAGACATGCTGCTTCACGTCATGTGTAGTGAATATAAGGATCCATTTGATCAAGAACCAAATAGTAAACATTTTTAACCAATTTAAACACACTTTGGTTTAATATTAGGCCAGATTCTGCATCTGTGTTTCTTTCTTTCTTCAAATGGGATCAGACATTTAATGTAAAACTCAGGTGAAAGATAAATTATTAATTTCAGGTCCATATGAGACAAATAAGGTGAAAATTCAGCTCAAACTGGACTAGTCCGGAGGAAACATTTGGGAATAAAAATAAAACAAAACAATGGGATTTTTATTAAGTAAAACAAGAATAAGAAAAGAAAAAGAAGTTATAAAAATAATGAAACAAAATTAATGCAACAGGTACAATGGGTATTTCAAATTTAAAAGAATAAATATTTAATTTGCTTCTTTTTGATTTATTGTTTGTACTTATTTACACTTTTCAAGATTTTGTTTGTCAAGGCTTTATTTAATTTGATCTTTTTCTAAGTTCACAATTATTTTTAATTCTTGTTTTTATTGTTATTATTATTATTATTATTATTATTTAGTGGGGTTTTTTTTTATATATTTTGGGATTTTTGTGACACTACTATTCCATATTTTTCCCCAATAATTTACCTAGTGAAGTAAAAGCCTTGTTTTTTTTATCAGTAAAAAGCTGAATATTTATTTTTAAATAATTAAAATTTTAATTGTGTTAGCAGCAGCTTAGATAATTAGAATTTTTGTACTTTCAAAAAGTTTTTGTTTTCTACCTTTAACGGTATTATCACTTGTTTATTAAAGGTGTAAAGTTTTTATGCCTAGAAATGTATTTTAAAAAATGAAGTAGTTAATTATTAATATATTATAATGTAGATAGGCGTTACATTCAGTGCAAAATTCAGGGACCAAGATTGTAAAACTTACAATCAGCATTTGTCTGAGAAGAGGATGGATTTGCTTCTCCAAGTAATTCAGCGCTGTTTAAAACAGAAGAACAAACAGAAATGTAAACACAAGTGAAATAAAACGTTATAATTGAGCAGCTGAATGAGTTACCTACAACGTCAGCTTTTTGAATAATAACTAACAGTACAAATCAGATAAACTAGTTTATGCTGTGAGATTTGGTGATGTCTCTTGCCAGTCAATCATAGGTCCACATAGTTCCCTTGTGCATGGTATTTATTGCATTTATAACAGCTAATAAACAAATTGAAGGAATTATGTGTGATCAGTGAGAGAGGGTTCAGAGACAGCAACAAAAATCTAATATCATGAATAGTATGCAGCTTGATGATGAGCAGGAACAAAGCTTGACGGCTTGTGTGAAGGAATGTGCCACGCGGTGAGCACTCAGACTCAGATGCTGTGTGAGCTGAGCCGTAAGCTGGACGCAATTCCCAAGAATCGCAGGCCACTTGCGGCTCCTGAAACTCGCTGGCAGGAAGGAATCGACCTTGGAGAAGCTACAAGCTCAGCCCGGCGGTGCTGACCACAGAATTTGGCTGTTTGGCGTCGCCATGGAGACGTACCAGTAGAACTGTAAGGCAGACAGAAATCAAGCAGAGTCGGCCTGACCCAAAATAATTGTTGTTATCTGAATCTGGCTCCCCCGAGTCAGCCTTGAATTGACCAACTATCTCAAACTCTCCTGGATGCTATGTGAACAAGAAGCTCTGCTCCCACCTTCCCCTACCTGATCCCTTCCCGAGGACATCTGTGGACCTGTATAAGAGCTGAGCTGGCTGATAGACACTGCACCATCTATGATCAGGACTATCTGGCAGTGTCCATGGCCAAACTCACCGCCTTCATCAGCCTTCCTCATGCAAATATGTATTATGATGTCATCAGTATGTTGCTGTTTCTGTGCTGAGTTTTCTTTTTTTTGCAACTTTCACACTGTGTCCTATCTAGGACACAGTGTGAGATATTTTTTTACACCTCCTCTTCTCTCGTGTTTCTCTTTTTCTATCTAAACGAAAAAGGCAGAGCCTCCCACGAGGCCGCAGCCTCAGACACCTCCGTCTCCCCATTGTCTGTCTGTTTATGCTTTACTCGGACGAGCTGTACTGAAATGTAATTTCGTTGTGTTTCGGTGCAATGACAATAAAGCTTTGATCTACTGAAAGGGGCAAACACTGCGTTTCCAGCAAATAGAGATAATCCAAACTAAACTAGTCTATTTGGACACACACAAAGAAAAATAAGCCTAAATTTTTCTTTTTAAAGTGTGATTTTGTGTCTAAATATCATGGATATTTTAATTTTTTTAATTTCAGTCAGTGTTTATTTCCCAAAAATAGGATTTAAACCTGGCGATAAATGTGAAACTTCTTTTGCAAAAGCTCTTATTTGTTCTTACATGCAGCTTGTGTTTTTCCCCACACACCTCGAGTGTACTCTTTACTTTGGACTTTTTATGATGCAAACATTTACAGCGTACGTAAAAGCAGTGTTACAAACTGTATGTTAAAAAAACAAGTTGTATGAAAACATAAAAAACTTTAAATTGAGCAGAATAAAAAAAGATGTTCAACAGAATTGTTGGATAGACGAGCTCAAACTACAAACCAAACAAACGATAAATACTAACCAGACAGGGAAAAATACATGAGAATAAGTCAAGATAAAGTAAACAGGTATAAAAGTGGGCAGGTAAAAATAAAATGTAATAAAATTAAACATAATGTCTCAACAAAAACCTAAACCTCTGACAGCAAAATAGTTTTTAAGCAGCAGGTTGACTTATTTATTCATTTTGTCCCTTTAACAGCATTTTTTATTATTTATACAAACCTGTTGTTTTCGAAGTCACTAACGTGCTAAATCATTTTACTGTTAATGGACGTTACAGATATTTCAGTTTTCTTAAACTAGAACAGATTTGACCACATTGTAGGTCACTTGACTAAAGGGCAGGAAATTACTCAAAAATGTAAAGAGCGTGCTCAGATTAATATCTGATCAAAAACTGATTTCTTACTGCCGTGCAACGAGCGGCATCTCACTTGTTTTTATGTGGTTTGTGCACATGTGTTTCTCTGTCACTGTTAGCCTGCAGAGAGAATAAAAAAAAAAAAAACAGGTCAATAAGATATGAAGATATCACATCATCCAGACAAACAGGAGCATTGTCTTGCTTGAGAGAACTTACAGAACGAGAGTGGGTGAAATTTGAAGGTCCTGATGTTTGAGATTGGCTCGAGGGAGATGAGCAGTTTGGGGCAGCAACGTTTCTGGGGAGCGGTGGTGGAGCTTTGATGTGAGAGCTGGGCACTTGGCTGTCTGAACTTGAAAACTATTGAAAAAAGATGTTTAATTATTTATTTACTGAGTGAATAATTTATATATGGGCAAAACCTGTGAATACAATTTAAAGTATACAGCCAGCTGCTCACTTGGTGAAGTTATCTAATCCTCTGAGAGCAGTGATGATGCTAACATGGTTAACATGTTAGCATGTTTGTTGATGCTACCTTGTTGTTGTGTTATTTTGATGACATTAACATCATTAATATTAACATGCTTACATTTGGATTAGATAGTTTGGCAAATATCTGCACTGGGCAAGTCAAAAATACACCGTCTTGGAAAAAGGATGGAGTGAAGCTAACTGCTAATCGTATCATAGCCACCTATAAATAACTCAAACGGTTCAGATATTTAGATCATGTCACTTTTTCAATGGATTAATAATAATTGTTACCGGTATATATAATGTCGATGTTAGAACAGGGTTTATAGTTTGTTGTAGCATCTTCCATGAGAAAAACATAATGTGTTGAGAGTACCCAGTCGACTGGTTGCAAAACCATTGCAGTGCCAATATTCACAACATAGTGTTTAAGTGTTTTAACTGCTATGAAATGTTTTAGTAGGAGTTGTTTTAAATGGCTGAAAACCACTTTAATGACTAGTTAACCGTTAGCTCTCCAAATTGAGATCGCTGTGATTGTTGTCTACTGCAGGTAAAATACTTGCTACTGATAGTGACTCCACTTTAATAAATCCAAATTAGCCAGATACTGTTAATCTTCATTGTGCAATGTCAAACAATTAATGAGGCTGGGTTTTGCACATTTTTATCTACAAACTGATAAAAACTGAACATTTTGCAGCCAACTCTTGTCTAATAAAAATACAAAGCAACATTCAATATTGTCCATTGAGAACTTCTGATTTCCTGAAAATACAAACTGTAGGTGTTGTGTGCAATAAAAAAACTTGAACAAAATCTTCTTGGACAAAACATTTCATCTGGACCGTTTGACACAAAGAAATAAATACATTCACACACACCTTTCTCAGTGCAGCCATTTCCTTTACCACCACCTCAATGTCCTCGTGGTCTTCGTCTTCATCTTCGCTGTCCTCATCCTCCCACCGATGGCTGCCCTTCAGGTAGGGCTCGATGAGGACGGACTCCGTCCCCTTGATGTCGCAGCGACAGTAAGGGCAGGTGTGACCAGCTGATTTCTGCTAAGGGCCCACCACAGTTAAAGATATGGAAAGTTCACATTAACTTACACTCGTACTCTGTACAACAGTTTCACACCCTCTGAGGGTATGTAGTGGAATATGTTTGACTCGTCTTCAAAGAAAAGAGGATGCAATGCTATTTGGAGAATACCGCGTTCAGCAGACACAGTAGACTGTGGTTTTCCACTCTGTAGTAGAGGTGACGATGAAAGTGAATTGTAACATTTAAATTTAACTTTTACAGAGTATTCAAGTACTTTTTCAGTTTTTAACTGCATAGAAACTCCCTTAAACCAGATTCTTCTAACATATTTGATAATTTTTCAACGAAAACTTTTAGAGCTGATCTCTTGTTGACATGTAGACTGATGACAGCGTTTTATACTGCGTCCTAACATTTCTGAGACCTATTTAAAGCTTTATTTATGTCTCATCCATTGGTCTTAAACATCTTCTCTCACATATTTAGATTGTTACAACAAGAGAAGGCAAGTGATACAGGACAGGTTGAGGAGGATGTGAAGCTAATTTTGCAGGAAATGCTGGGCCAAACGTCCCAACAGGGGGCTTTGCTTTTCTGTTTTTCAAAGAACTGTGCTCCTTCTGAGCAGATCACTGGCTGAACATGACGTTAAAACTTGAGAGTAGCAACAAAAGCTTCTTTAATGTCATTCTGTGAGTGAAAGAGGAAGTAGGAAGTTGTTAGACTGGATCAGCCAAAGGTACATGGTAATCAGCTGATTTAATGTTTTACTGTTAGATCATGTTAAGTTTTGTATTGTATTGTCTCTAGATGGATGGATGGATGGATGGATGGAT